GTGACGACGTTCGAGGCATTTGTCAGAGACACCAGTTGAGCGACAGAATTGGTACTCTTCAGGTCCTTCATCATGGGAGTGTTCCTGCTCGACGGGTGCGTGTTGTACCCTCGCCTGGGCACAGCGTGCATTGCCAGAGTATGGTGTGGCTTGATTCAGTCGCTTCAGTGATGACAACCTAGATGACGAGTCGGATGCTGTGCGCTAGTGTTTCTCGCATTCAACGTGTGTCGACGTTCGAGGCATTTGTCTGAGACGCTGGCTGAGTGACAGGATTGGTACTCTTCAGGTCCATCTTCATGGGAGTATTCCTGTTCGACAGATGTGCGTTGTAACCTCGCTCGAGTTGAGCGACAGGATTGGTACTTTTCAGGTCCTTCGTCATGGGAGTGTTCCTGCTCGACGGGTGCGTGTTGTACCCTCGCCAGGGCACAGCGTACATTCACGTGGTAGAGGTGTGTTGCCAGATTCTGGCGTGGCCTTACGAAATCATCTCAGTGATGACAACCTAGATGACGAGTCGGATGCTGTGTTAGAGTGTTTCTCGCATTCGACGCTTGATGACGTTCGAGGCACTTGTCTCAGACACTCGCTGAGCGACAGGATGGGTACTCTTCAGGTCTATCATGGGAGTGTTCCTGCTCGACCGATGTGTGTTGTACCCTCGCCGGGGCACAGCGTATATTTACGTGGTAGAAGTATGTTGCTAGATTATGGTATGGCTTTACGAAATCGCCTCAGTGATGACAACCTAGATGACGAGTCAGATGCTGTGCGAGAGTCTTTCTCGCATTCAACGTGTGACGACGTTCGAGGCATTTGTCTGAGACACTAGCTGAGCGACAGGATGGGTACTCTTCAGGTCCTTCATCATGGGAGTGTTCCTTCTCGACGGGTGTGTGTTGTACCCTCGCCGGGGCACAGCGTGTATCCACGTGGTAGAAGTGCGTTGCCAACTTATCGTCTGGTCCTATGTAGTCGCTTCAGTGATGTCAACCTGGATGACGAATCGGATGCTGTGTTAGAGTGTTGCTTGTATTCGATGCTTGATGACGTTCGAGGCACTTGTCTCAGACACTGGCTGAGTGACAGGATGGTTACTCGTCAGGTCCATCTTCATGGGAGTGTTCCTGCTCAGTGTGTGCGTGTGTGTTGTACCCTCGCCGGGGCACAGCGTGTATCCACGTGGTGGAGGTGCGTTGCCAAATTAATTAACGTCTGGTCCTACGAAGTCGCTTCAGTGATGACAACCTAGATGATGAGGCGGATGCTGTGCGAGAGTGTTTCTCGCATTCAACGTTTGACGACGTTCGAGGCATTTGTCTGAGACACTAGCTGAGCGACAGGATGGGTACTCTTCAGGTCCTTCATCATGGGAGTGTTCCTGCTCCACGGGTGTGTGTTGTACCCTCGCCTGGGCACAGCGTGCATTGCCAGAGTACGGTGTGGCTTGATGCAGTCGCTTCAGTGATGACAACCTAGATGACGAGTCAGATGCTGTGCGAGAGTCTTTCTCGCATTCAACGTGTGACGACGTTCGAGGCATTTGTCTGAGACACTAGCTGAGCGACAGGATGGGTACTCTTCAGGTCCTTCATCATGGGAGTGTTCCTTCTCGACGGGTGTGTGTTGTACCCTCGCCGGGGCACAGCGTGTATCCACGTGGTAGAAGTGCGTTGCCAACTTATCGTCTGGTCCTATGTAGTCGCTTCAGTGATGTCAACCTGGATGACGAATCGGATGCTGTGTTAGAGTGTTTCTCGTATTCGATGCTTGATGACGTTCGAGGCACTTGTCTCAGACACTGGCTGAGTGACAGGATGGTTACTCGTCAGGTCCATCTTCATGGGAGTGTTCCTGCTCAGTGTGTGCGTGTGTGTTGTACCCTCGCCGGGGCAGAGCGTGTATCCACGTGGTGGAGGTGCGTTGCCAAATTAACGTCTGGTCCTACGAAGTCGCTTCAGTGATGACAACCTAGATGATGAGGCGGATGCTGTGCGAGAGTGTTTCTCGCATTCAACGTTTGACGACGTTCGAGGCATTTGTCTGAGACACTAGCTGAGCGACAGGATGGGTACTCTTCAGGTCCTTCATCATGGGAGTGCTCCTGCTCCACGGGTGTGTGTTGTACCCTCGCCTGGGCACAGCGTGCATTGCCAGAGTATGGTGTGGCTTGATGCAGTCGCTTCAGTGATGACAACCTAGATGACGAGTCGGATGCTGTGCGAGAGTGTTTCTCGCATTCAACGTGTGACGACGTTCGAGGCATTTGTCTGAGACGCTGGCTGAGTGACAGGATTGGTACTCGTCAGGTCCATCTTCATGGGAGTGTTCCTGCTCAGTGTGTGTGTGTGTGTGTGTTGTACCCTCGCCGGGGCACAGCGCATAGTCACGTGGTAGAAATATGTTGCCAGATTATGACGTGGCCTTACAAAGTCGCTTCGGTGATGACAAGTCGTATGCTTTGTGAGAGTGTTTCTCGTATTCAGCGTGCGGCGACTTTCGAGGCATGTGTTTGGGACATTTGCTGAATGACATGAGTCGGGGGCCTCGTCTTTCTGAATGTATTGCTGGAACATCCGCAGCACGACTGGGTAACAGGCCTTGAGTAATTGAGCCATTGACACGGGCGCTGATAGGCCGCGTCTCATCGGCAGCCTGGACGTCGAGTTTTCCAGTATAGCAACGTGCAGTTTTAGGTGTCAGAGTCTGGGGACGAGGTGATACTCAATATCTTCACGCACGCCGTTGCATGTTATACTTTACCCAGCTTATGGCGCGGCCTTCGCAGGCGCTTCAGTGATGGCAACCGAGGTGACGAGTCGGATGCTTTACGAACGTGTTTCTCGCATTCAGCGTGTGGCGATTTTGTCTGGGACATGAGCTGAGTGACATGAGTGGTGCTCTTCAGGTCCATGATGATTGGGGGCATCCCTGCTCGACGGGTTGAGTGTTGTACCTTCGCGCCAGTGCACTGCTGCGTAGATTCACGCGCCGAAGGGCGTTTCCGGATGCCGAAGCGCTTCGTTTTCCTAGCCCCAGGGCTGAGTTCAGGATTCTGCTGGTCAATCCTGGCACTTCTGGTCATTGAGGTGTCCCCCCCCTATAAGATGAGGAGGGTGAGGCGGGGGAGACAGGTTTAGAAGAGGATCAGGTGAAGGAGCAGGACACGTAGACGAAGGGGTAGAACGAGGACGACGAGGAGCACACCAGGGAGACGCGCAGAAGGATGATACTTCTAATCTGTCAATCCTCCGACGGTGACGGTGTGGACATCGCATCCTCTAAGAAGTCCTGACGGCGGTGTCGCTCCTGTTGGGCTCGTTGTTGCTGGAGAGTGGGCGGCGTTTCTGTGCGGGTGTTTGCTGGCCCTGCACGCATGTGCCAGCGCATCTTGGAAGCCATCGTCCGGATGATCGTGCACCAGAGCCTAGGAGACACGCAGAGGCGCTCAAGGCTGGAGGTGGTCTTCAAGTCGAGCCCTCACGCTGGGTGCGTCGGAGCAGTCGTGCACCCCTTAGCTCCGCAACCTCGGGCAATTCTGCGTACGCAGTCGCTTCGGTCAGGAAATGCGGAAATCGTAGATGCCGAGTGGGATTTGCGGTCGGAGCGTTTCCCGCATTTCTTCCGTGACGATTTTTGATGCATTGTCGAAGTAGCCGTCTGAGAGTCGGGGGCCTCGTGTTTCGAAGTGTATTGCTGGAGCATCCGCTGCACGACTGGGTAACAGGCCTCGAGTAATTGAGCCGTTGCCACGGGCGCTGATAGGCCGCGCCTCATCGGCGGCCTGGGCGTCGAGTTTTCCGGTATAGGAACGCGCCATGTTTCGGAAGCTGGAACATATACATTACCAGTGGCGAGCTGTTTTTCAATCCCCGAACTTTGTGAGGATCGGGGACGACGTCTGGGTGGTGTGGTGTATTTTTTTTCTTCCCATTTCCCGGGGGGAAATATCAAAACATGTATACACCAGGACCCGTATGCACCAGGATCCGCTTTCCTATGCGCATGTCAGTGCGGGGCCGGGAACAGCGTCGGTGTATGGAGTTCGGCTCCTTAGTTTTTCGTGTCCCAGTTTGGGGACGAGGTGATACTCAATGTCCTCACGCACGCCGTTGCATGTTACACTCTACCCGGCTTCTGGCGCGGCCTTCGCAGGCGCAGCTTGCAGCCAAAACGCTCAAATAAGGAACGGTTTGGGTTTGGAAGGGGCTCGATATTTCTTAGGTCCTTCCTTGGCTGTTCCATTAGCTTTCCTCGTGCAGCCAGGCGCTTCTGGGGCCCAAAAGGGGCTTCGTTCCTTATTTTCCGTTCCTTCTGGTAGCACCTCGACTGTATTCGGGGTCATCATGCCCCCCTGGATCTCATGGCCCCCTCTTTCTCCATACGTCCCCCGGTCCCCCCGCGTCCTGGCATGTGCCTCGGGCCATGATCTGCGAACCCCCGTCTGGGACGCCCTCGATGAAGGGTATAGGGGCCGTCTGGTCGACCCGAGGCCGTCTTTCAGGAGGGAAAAAAACACAGACACAATTAATCGTCGATTCCCCAGAAAATATGGGAAAATATGGGAAGTGGGGAGGAAGACAAAAACCCATAAAATACGGGAGAATATGGGGAATCTCTTTATTTGTGTGTATTTATTTGTGTGCCCTGGGGCCCCTTCAGTCTTGGAGCTCTTCCTGGGCTGATCCAGCTCGTTTTTGGGGGCGTTCCCCGAGCCGCGCCCGCGGCGAGGTCCGAGGGCCGCCCTTGGGGCATGGCAGAGGCCCAGCCAGACCGAGAGAAGGCGCTCCGATTGCGCTCCGATTCCGATCCGACAGCGCTCAGACTACGCTCCGATCCGTCTGAGCTGCCATACCCCAAAATGCGTTGGCTTCCGTTGGACGGGTCCGCGGAGAGCATTGGCAAGGACGTAGCTCGAGAGGTCCGATGCAGCCTGTGGAGCACAGGGAGTTGACAGCGCCCTTGAAGAGGGTACGGGGCCGTGGGTACGCACCCAGGACCTGACCCGTCACGTGAGGTTCGAGCCTGGGATGACCACGAGAGACGTTGTGGACAAGATCGTCAAGGCCGCGAGAGGGAGGGAGCGATGCGGGCAGGGAGGGAGGGAGGATATGGATGAAGGGCAAGCTAGGCTTGTGGAAGTTGATTAATGGAGAGGAAGCATGCCGCAAAATAATTTCCACATGCGTAAAAGATGTTTCAACCATGTTTTAAACATGTTAAAAACATGCTCATGCTTAGGACATGTGTTACAAAGTTTAACACATCTTTAATTCAATGATAGGATTGTTAGAGTTTCCAGTGTGCTGGCATCCACAAACCTAGGTGCGCGCGCGCTCGCGCCATATCTGACATCCTACCCCTCCCGCCCATCCCTTCCCAATGCGCTGCTTTTTCCTCTGTTCGCCGACGGGTGTACTACCATACACCATCGTGTGACGTGCAGTCCTACTCGGCAGCTGTCTACACTGGAGGAGCAGATGGAGGAGGGCTTGGTGGCTGATAAGGATGGTGATGATGCTGATGCTGATGCTGATGATGCTGATGATGCTGATGCTGAGGATGCTGATGCTGATGCTGCTGCTGCTGCTGATGATGATGATGATGATGATGATGATGCTGGTGCTGGTACTGATGATGCTGATGATGAGGGCGATGCTGCTGATAATGATGACGACGATGTTGCTGCTGCTGCTGATCATGATGATGACGATGGCGCTGATGCGGATGATGATGCTGATGATGATGCTGATGCTGATGATGATGAGGAGGATTCTGATGCTGACGATGATGCTGATGATGCTGACGCTGATGATGATGGTGCTGATGATGCTGCTGATGACGCTGATGATGATGGCGATGTTGCTGCTGCTGCTGATGATGCTGATGAGGGTGACGATGACGCTGGTGCTGATATTGATGATGATTATGGTCATGTGGAAGATGATACTGATGATGATGATGATGATGATGATGATGCTGATGAAGATGATGATGACGATGCTGATGACGATGATGATGCGGCTGATGCTGATGATGATGATGACGATACTGATACTGATAATGATGATGCTTATGATGCTGGTACTGATGATGATGATGATGATGATGATGATGATGATGACGATAATGGTGGTGGCGATGCTGATGATGCTGGTGATGACGATGCTGCTGCTGATGATGCTGCTGATGCTGATGATGCTGCTGCTGCTGCTGATGATGATGATGATGTCTATAGTAATGATAATGATAACGATGATGATGATGATGATGATGATGATGATGATGATGATGATGATGATGATGATGATGCTGACGATGATGACGATGCTGATAGTACTGCTGATGACGATGACGATGCTGATGCTGATGATGCTGCTGCTGATGCTGATGATGATGCTGATGCTGATGACGATGATAATGGAGCTGATGCTGATGATGCTGCTGCTGACGATGATGATGATGATGATGATGATGATGATGATGATGATGATGCTGGTGATGACGATGACACAGATGATGCTGATGATGCTGATGCTGATGGTGATTATGATTATGATGATGATGGTGATGACGGTGGTGGTGGTGGTGATGATGATGATGACGATGACGACTACGATGATGATGATGATGATGATGGTTACGATGATGATGATGATGATGATGATGATGATGATGATGATGATAATGATAATGATGATTATGATGCTGATGATGATGATGATGATAATGATGATGATTCCCTTCTAATGATGATTCTGATGATGATGCTGATGACGATGATGATGCTGCTGATGATGATGATGATGATGATGATGATGCTGAGGATGCTGATGATGATGATGATGATGATGATGACGATGATGGTGCTGGTGCTGATGCTGATGATGATGATGATGATGCTGATGATGATGATGATGATGCTGAGGATGCTGCTGCTGATGATGATGATGATGATGATGATGATGATGATGCTGGATGATGATGGTGCTGATGATGATGATTATGCTGCTGATGATGATGATGATGATGATGATGAACGGCGACGACGACGGTGATGACGATGATGATGATGATGATGATGATGATGATGATGATGTCATGATTATGATGCTGGTGCTGATGATGCTGATGCTGGTGCTGATGCTGCTGCGGATGATGCTGATGATGATGATGATGGTGATGATGATAATGATGATATCATTGCTGATGCTGATGATGATGCTGATGATGATGCTGATGATGAAGATGATGACGGTGCTGGTGATTGTCATGGTGATGGTGCTGATGATGCTGATGATGATGATCATGATGCTGCTGTCGATGATGGTGTTGTTGTTGACGATGATGAAGAAGGTGCTGATGATGATGATAATTATGATACCGATGATGGTGATGATGATGATGATGACGATGATGGTGCTGGTGCTGATGCTGATGATGCTGATGATGATGATGATGATGCTGAGGATGATGATGATGCTGATGATGATGATGACGATGATGGTGCTGGTGCTGATGCTGATGATGATGATGATGCTGCTGCTGATGATGATGATGATGCTGAGGATGCTGCTGATGATGATGATGATGGTGGTGATGATGATGATGATCATGATGATGCTGATGATGCTGCTGATTATGATGATGCTGATGATGATGATGACGATGATGGTGCTGGTGCTGATGCTGATGATGATGATGCTGATGATGATGATGATGATGATGCTGATGATGCTGCTGATGATGATGATGCTGATGCTGATTATGATGCTGCTGATGATGATGATGATGATGCTCTGATGATGATGATGATGATGTGATGATGATGATGATGCTGATGATGCTGATGATGATGATGATGATGATGACGATGATGGTGCTGGTGCTGATGCTGATGATGATGATGATGATGATGCTGATGATGATGATGATGCTGAGGATGCTGCTGATGATGATGATGATGATGATGATGATGATGATGATGATGATGATGATGGTGGTGGTGGTGGTGGTGGTGGTGGTGGTGGTGATGATGATGATGATGATGATGATGATGATGGTGATGATGATGATGATGATGAGAAGGCGGAGGAGGAGGAGGAGGAGGAGGAGGAGGAGGAGGATGAGGAAGAGGAAGAGGAGATGGAGGAGGAATACTTGCTCGGACGACGGAGGAGGAACTGGAACTGGAACTGGACAAACGCGAAGCGTTACAACAAATGCCTCCCCCTGAACTCCTCAAGGAAGACGAGGAACAGGTAGAAGGCGAAGACGGACCTGAAGACCCAGTAGCTGCAGGGAGGGACACCGATACCTTCACCATATTTCAGATACGACCCAAAAACTGGCAGCGGCTATACAGGTAGGATTAAGCTCGATACGGCCCTATACGTGGTCAACGGGCAAACTTGGCACAACTCGCAGAAGAACCACAACTGCGAGGTTTTATAGTACTGAGCTCGCTACCTCCAGAACTGTCTCGCCCACTGCCACACTTACGAGCCATATAGATCATGTTCCTCAGCACGATTGCGCGCCACCCGTAACACAATTAAGTGATCATTGATGGGGTTCCCAACGACAGCAAACTGAATAACAGCCCGCACACTGTACCAAGTGAAGATAACTGAAATAGACGCCCACTCACCATGCCCAGTACGCTGCTACCTCCCGAGCAAGAGGGTGTGTGAACAATTCCAGAAACCGCACAGAAAACTGAAGTCGCGACACTATGCGAGACTGAACAAAAATGTCACCATTTCGATCAAGCACATCGGAGCAGCGCCAGAGCCCGCTGCCACTGCTCAACTTTCTCGAGAACCATCCCACGTCATTTGCGTACCTGCTGATACAAAGGGCAATACTGATGAAGATGACGGGCTCCATCTGGAACAGCAACCACCCCTTGAGCAATGCCAGAACATGCTGCCACTGCACATCCTGCTCGCAAATACACCAGACTGTAAGAATTGCAAGAAACAACATCCCGAGGATTGAATGGATAAGCAGGCCTACCATCGCAACAACAAAACTTGAAACTGCAAATAATAAACTCCACCCATCCATCGCTGCGCTCTGTGGGGCATGACTGGCCAAAAAGGCTCTCTCCTCCCACATCTGCGCAGCAAGGCCCAGCCTCCCCCATGCGGTTTTGGGGAGGACTTGAATAAAACCGCCAGCGGCAGCAGCCTGGACGCCCAGCAGCACGCCGTAGACCGCCTCGGATTGCCTTCGCCCTGCCTTCGCCACCGGGATCGTCCGCGCGCGTCGCGGCAGACCCGATGCACCTCAAGCGCCGACGTGTAGGCGCAGGGCGCGACCCATGACTCGCTGGAGCCCAAACGGGTACGGAGCCTTGGGCCGCAGTGCTTGAGTCGGACGACGGAGGAGGAGGAGGAGGAGGAGGAGGAGGAGGAGGAGGAGGAGGAGGAGGAGGAGGAGCTCTTGCTGGCGGTCGGTTTCTCCTGGCGATCTTGTCGGGGCGCCTTCCGCAGGCGGTCGATTTCGCCCGCGCCGGTTTCGCTGGGGTCGGTTTCGCCCGTGAGGTTTCGCGGGGGGGTCGGCTTCGCTTGTGGTCGTGCGGCGGGCGGGGCCTTCAGGAGCGGGCGGGTCGGGCGGGACTCGGGAGGGCAGGTCTGGCGGATGGGCCCCGACGGGCGGATCGGACGCGAACCTGCGAGCCGCGACGGGCGGGCTGCCCGGGCGGGCGGGGCCCCCGCTGGCGGGTCGGCCGCGCGGGGCCTCGGCGGGTGAGACCCGCCGCGGGCGACGCCGACGGGGCAATGCGACCTCGGCGACGCCCGCCAGGCGAAACGCGGCGGGCGAGGCTTGCCGCGGGCAGGGCCGACCGCGGGCGTCACCCGCCGCGAGCGAAGCCGACCAGGCTCGGCTGGGAGGTTTTTTCCCAACCATCTCGTGGTGTTGGGTCCTCGTTTTGAAGCGTTCCCTCCCTCCCTGCCTCCTTCCTCCCTCGCTCCCTCCCTCCCTCCTTCCCTCCCTCCCTCCTTCCCTCCCTCCTTCCCTCCCTCCCTCCTTCCCTCCCCCTCCCTCCCTCCTTCCCTCCTTCCTTCCTCCTCCCTCCTCCTCCTCCTCCCCCCCCCTCCCTCCTCCCTGCGTTCCACCCGCCCAGTGTAGCTTTTCGTGGCTCCATGGGGAGCTCCACCCAAGGCCCCAGTGCCACCGCCCGCTTGCGTCACGCACGCCCATTTCGGCACACCCCTCACACGTTTCGTGGCCCCACAGGGAGCTCCACCGATGGCCTCAGAGCCACCGCCCGCATGCGTCACGCACACCTATGTCGGCACACCCCTCACGCTTCGTGGCCCCACAGGAAGCTCCACCGAAGGCCATAGTGCCACCGCCCGCATGCGTCACGCACACCCATTTCGGCACACCCCTCACACGTTTCGTGGCCCCATGGGAAGCTCCACCGAAGGCCCCAGTGCCACCGCCCGCATGCGTCCGCCCGCACACCCATGCGTCACGCACACCCATGTCGGCACACCCCTCACACGTTTCGTGGCTCCATGGGGAGCTCCGCCGAAGACCCCAGCGCCACCGCCCGTATGCGTCACGCACACCCGTTTCGGCACGCCCCTCACACGTTTCGTGGCCCCTACAGGGAGCTCCGCCGAAGGCCTCAGTGCCACCGCCCGCATGCGTCACGCACACCCATTTCGGCACACCCCTCACACGTTTCGTGGCCCCACAGGAAGCTCCACCGAAGGCCCCAGTGCCACAGCCCGCATGCGTCACGCACGCCCATTTCGGCACACCCCTCACACGTTTCGTGGCCCCATAGGGAGCTTCACCGAAGGCCGCATTGCCATCGCCCGCATGCGTCACGCACACCCATGTCGGCACACCCCTCACACGTTTCGTGGCCCCATAAGGAGCTCCACCGAAGGTCCCAGTGCCACCGCCCGCATGTGTCACCCACGGCCATTCCGGTACACCTCTCATATTTCGTTTTCGTGGCCCCACAGAGAGCTCCACCGAAGACGCCTCCGTAGCCATTTTGGCTCAAGCCTGGCTCGAGCGCGTCGCCTAGCACTGGGACGCCTTCGGAGCCTGTTTGAGGGGTTGCGCGCCAATCTTGCGCGGCGATGGATGTGGATGATGACCTCATGTCGCCGCCCGGGGGCCCTGCGGAGGACGACTCCGATGACGGGGACCTGCCCCCCGACATGGGGCTGCCCCGGGGCTCAGAGCTCCCAGATGGAATTCAGAAGGAGATCATCAACGAGGCAGATCCCGGCAATTGGAAGAAGCCGAAGTCTGGCGACGAGGTGACGGTCCACTACGTCGGCAAACTGGCGTCCGACGGATCGGTGTTTGACTCGTCGAGAGACAGGCAGACGCCGTTCGTCTTCACCCTTGGCAGGGGCGACGTGATCGCAGGCTGGGACAAGGCCCTCGCCACGATGAAGAAGGGCGAGCTCGCCACATTCACGATTTCCCCAGAGTTCGCCTACGGGGCCACAGGCCAGCCGCCCAAGATCCCGGAGGATGCCACCCTGATCTTTGAGATCGAGCTGCTGTCCTTCGTCGCCAAGGACGACCTCTTCGGGGATGGCTGCGTGATCAAGACAGTGTTAGCGGAGGGCACCGGGTGGAAGCACCCTAAGCTCGACGATGAGGTGATCATTGATGTGCAGGCCACCGCGGCGGCGGGGGGGCCCGCGAAGGACTGGGCCGGTCTGGAGTACAGGCTGGGCTCCAGCGCCCTCGGGTCGCTGGGCAGGGCCTGCGACGCCGCCCTGAAGGGCATGAAGAAGGGCGAGGAGGCCCTGCTCAGGTGTACCAAAGATTATTCAAGTGAAGATTGGTCCGATGGCGCGGAGGTGACCATCAAGCTGCAGGAGATTTTCGAGACGTGCGACATCTCCTTCAGGAAAGACGGTGCCGTCCTCAAGAAGCGAACTCGAGATGGCGAGGGTTACGCCACACCGACTGAGGCTTCGAAGGTGACACTTAGTGTGGATGACGCGCGGCAAGCTGACGCGCTGGTCCCGGGCTTTGCGAGCCAGGTGCTGGAGTTCACCCTCGGCAGCGGGGAGGTGTGCGACGCGCTCGAGTGCGCGGCCGCGAACATGAAGAAGCTCGAGCAGGCGACGCTGACCGTGGCGCGCCCAGAGCTGGCCGCGGAGGCCAGACTGGGCCTGAAGGACGTTGGCGCTGGTGGCGAGTCGATCGTCCTCAAGCTCGAGATGAAGGAGTTCGAGAAGGGTAAGGAGACGTGGGACATGTCGGACGAGGAGAAGCTGAAGTTCTGCGACGAGCGCAAGGCCCTGGGGAATTCGCTCTTCAAGGCGGGCAGGCTGGACCTGGCCCTCGGGCGCTACAAGAAGGTCGGTGATGTATTCTCATACATCGACAATTTCCCTGAAGACGTCCAGGCAAAGGCACGGGAATTGAAGCAGGCATGCGAGCTGAATAAGGCGATGTGCTATTTGAGAATGAACGACTATGACGAGGCCAAGGCTGCCTGCAAC